AGTCATGCTAAAAATGTGGATTGCTTGGCCCCATTCTAATTGGAATCCTTGACAACCTGGCGCAGAGATCAATTGCCCAGGTAATTGTGATACATCTAGATAGTGACTCTGAAGGAGTGAGTGGACCTTGTTTGGTGTGTTCACTGCTTACCCCTGGCATCAAGAACAGTGCCCAGCTCCTGAAGAGTGTGCACTATCTTTCTGATACTGAGTGAGGGAAGTGAGCAAATGAGTTCTTATGCAGTTTTCTGCTGTTAGCTGCTATGAGTTAGGGAATATTGTTAGAATTCACTAAGAATAAGAATATAAAATATTTTAAGATACAAGAAAGGGGCTTACCTCTGTAAATTATTGGATCTTTCTAAGTATGCTCCATTCTTTTCATGGCCCAGAGGTTTGTTTTATGTCAGCATGAAGTATATACTTAATGGCTGAATGTTGGATTGATTCTTTGTTTCCATGGCCTTAATATGTTGCTTCAAAAATGAGAGGTCTGTGTTACTTTGACCTTAATCTGGGCTATTCTGAAAGATTAATTTCCAACGTTCTGTTAGCTAAGTGGGAAGAAACTAGAAATGCAAGTAGACTTCTAACTACTTGTGATTGAGTCCCGCCCCTCACCCCCTGCCATAAGCGAAATGTGTGCTTTCTAAAAATACTGCTGTTGAAATATTCCTGGGTCCCAAAGGGGATTAAATTGTGAGAGAACAATAGGAGCAGATTGTCATCTTTCATAAGGTTTGAAATCATCTGAATTTGAACGTTTTTCTTCCCCTTGGAGGTTTAAGAATCTGAAAGAGCCTTTCCAGACCTTTTTAGTCTTGACTGGTTTTCTCTTCACAGGATTTAATTATTTGTTTATTAAGAGAAATTATTCCTTAGCCTAACTATTCATGTTTCATGGCTCAGGATCACAAGTCAGTGACAAACTTGGTGAAAGTCAAGCCAAAGAAATCCTTTCTGTTTAAAGATCACTTTACACTCTGAAAGATACCAGCCTTCCTCATCTTCTTGAAATCTTTCATGAAATCAGAATTTCTGTAGAAATCTGCAAATCCCTTCTTTCTTGATTCAGCACCAGAAAGCGGCCAGCCCCAGCATGCAGTGAATGCTGTGGAAGTATGACATGGTAGGCAATGCTCCTGAGGTCTCCACAAAGACCTGGAAGCGATTCTCTTCAGTAGGGATGTCCTGCCGCGCTGAAGGGAAATGGACAGTGCATGAAATGTGCCGTCTTTTCCTTAAAAAACAAAAATGAAGCTAACATTTAGGATCCAGTGTTTTGAGTATATTTATCAACACCGTTCTAATTTTTTGCATGTTTTGTTTTTAAATCCACCGAAAATGTCTTTCATTTTTGTTGGATAATTTGCTCACCCCAGTTCTACTCCTCTGTTTGTACATTTAGAGAAAGATTTCGAATGAGAGCCGGTGGTATACTCACTCTGGGAACTAACATACTACTTCATTTGGAAAAAAATACTAATGCATATAGTTGCATTGTTCCAAATGGAACAGTGTTTTCTGATGAAGATAGGCAAACAAAAATGAAGAACCTGTTTGATATTGGTTCTTTTTTAATTCATCTAACAAATAATAATTGAATGGTTTCACAGTGCCAGGCACAAGGCTAGGCTCTGGGATACAGACATGAATGGTTATAGTTTCTGAATTTAATTGGTTTGAATTCTAGTTAGACAAGTGGATAGTTATTATGGCAAAGGTCAGGAATGAGATTTCTGCATACAGTCAGAACTCAAAACACAGATTAAGCTAGAACTAAATTGTAAAGAATTAAAAATTGGAAAGGGTGGGAATGTTGCAGACAGAAGAAAGTGTTTTTGCTGACATGTGAACTTGGCATATTCTAAGAATGGATCATGAATAGCTTTCTATATGGATGCTAAGGACTCATAATTTTATTCGTCAACAGATGAAGATGTGCTAAAGGCTCCTTTTGAATGGGAGAATGTCATGATCAGATTAATGATGACTTTGAGGGGAAGAAGGGATTGAAGCAAAGCAATCCTAAAGATGCCAGAACCCAATTAAGAAAAGACTCTAATAATCTAAAAAGTGGGAAAGCTTTAAATGAAGCTGTGATTTTTATAGCTAAACCAAAAGTTTTAAATATGCTGTTTGCTTTAAAACTCAACACATTTTGAAATTTTGGTTTGGCAGTAAGAGTGATGAAACTTGAACATAGAATATAAGTTTCAGAAATTTCATAAAGCATGAAGTATCTCTTTTGGTGACCTCAGCTTTAAATTCTTCAAATGTTTGTTAAATGCAAAATGTTTTATGTGCTAAGACTATGGTGATGATTCACGGTGACTTGGTGGTGGGAATTTTACAGGGACTACACCTGAGAGGAGAGAGCAAACATTGTTCAAAAATTAACACTGATATAAAATATGTATATAAATAAATATTTAAAAAATGCTTTATGTGCTTACTTCACAATCACATTTTTCTGGCCTTTTGTGTGTGTTTATAGTGTGAAAGTTATTACAGCTACTTGAAAATACTGAATTCTGCTTTACTCCATGAACCTACAGTTGTTTTTTCTGCATAATTTTTCTATTGGAAAAGAAACTTTTACTATTTCATGAATATCTCATGAAAAAAAGACAATAAGACATAAAGTCCTATAAACTCTGAAGTTGAATTTCAGGAATCTTGAAAGAAGAACTAGGCAGCTAAAATTAAATCCTTGTTTAGATAATTCTTATGTAGATCGTAGATCGTAGATTGTAATATGCTTACAAAATATTCACAGCTACTATTAATCTTGATTATACTCCAAATTCATATAATATGTTCTTCTTACATGTTGCCAATCTTTCTTCTAATTTGAGCTTATGTAGACAAATATCAGTTGACAATTTATTCTTTAAAAAGCCTGCACTTTTGTGGCAGAAGTCTGGTAAAATAGGGAGGGAAAAGATAAGAATCCGCTTTTAAAAGAGCTACCATTTGAGACATTCTTATTTTATAGGTATGTGTATAGGTTACATTTGTGTATTATACAGTATTATTTTCAACTCTTGTCCCTAACTTTTTCCTACGAAATTCCCACGTTATTAAAGTTGTCTAGAATATGTCTTTGTCATGGTATTGACACTAGAAAATTTTACTTGAAGTCACTTTGTAACTATTTACATAACAAAATGTGTGGTGTTTTTTCCCCATACAACATGAGATGCTTGTGATCTCTAATATGTAATCACTTACTGTCCTGTTTTTAAAGTAATCTTTAAAGGCTTCCTGCTAAGAGTAGTCATCAGCCAATATTTGTAATTATAAGTTTATAACAACAGCTGTGAGAATCAAATTTTCTTTCCTCTATTTTCCAGTTTCATCAGGTGACCTCTCTTTAAGTCTCAGAACCTCATACTGAGATTGTTTCAGGGTCAACAACTGTTATTCAAAATAGAGACGCTGAGAGCATGTCCAGTTAGAAACATAACAAACACCAACATCACAGAGTTCACATACTCGTCTCCTTTACATGCTTGCTTTTCCTGCTGACATTTTAGAGATTTATTTATTTATACAAGCACTGGGTACAGTCAAAAGTACAGGAGGATGAGAGAATTCACCAGAGCGGGGAACAGAACAGGCAGGCTGATGAAGAAATACACTGCTGAGGGGAGCAGCGGGCAGCAGGAGAGGTCTGTTGTGCCATGTGGGACCCTCGCCGGTGGCCGGGGATCGAACCGGCGCCGCAGAGGCTGCAGGCAGCTTCACAGCCCAGCGCTCAACTGCTGTGCCACCAGGGGAGGCCCTCCTACTGACATTTTAAAGGCTTAAAAGCATGGCTATGTCTTGTTGGTTTGTGTGTTCCTGCATAGAGTCTGAGACTTAATGAAATTTTAATCCATTATATTTTCCAGGTGTTCATAATCTATCTTTCTGTCTTTCGACAAAGAAGGACAAAGGTCAAATTCTATACTGAGTCAAGCACATTCTTCATAATTTGGCATTTACTATCTTCTGATCTCATTCTCCTTATATCATGATTACCTCTGCTAGACACAAGTTCCTGTGCCTCCAGTCTTACATTAAAAATCAGAAAAAGCATGGTTTTCTAAAAAAAAAGGTCATATTCGGTATTATCTCCAGACTCTGGACCTCCTCTGTGGGGAGGTCCATTTGACCGAGCAGGCAGCTTCCCTGTTCCTTGTTTCCTCTGTTTGCCATAGCTTTTTGTTCATTCAGAAATGAAAACTTGTTCTTAAGGTTTGTTTTCCTGTATCCCCAATAGACTGAATTTTACAAAGTCCCTGTGCTACTTGTTCTTACTCATTCTTGAGAACAAGCACAATCCCAGTTATGATAATCTTAGGATAGAGCTATTCAGTTTGTCAGGATTAGGAAAGTATGAAAATAAGAAAACATATAAACATTGCAACAGAAGTATTTAGATCTACATGTATATTTGCCTTGTAGGCATATTATGACATCTTTAAGGCCACCTTAAAGGTATTCCCCACAAGACAGAAATGTCTATCTGAAAAATCAGATTCTTAAGGTGCCATTTGGTATACATTTGGGACTAAACCTCTATTTTGAGTATTTCCAGAATTCACTAGATGACACTATATGGTACAAAATTTTGCTAGGTAGAAAAGTTTTCCAAATAACACACAGCATAGATATTTAAAAAGGTTGACTGTGGTGACACTTAATGTAAATAAATGTAAATAAAATTAAAGTGTTGACATTTGGGATCACACTCTGGTGTACCTTTGTTCGGGTATGCCACGACTGTGATGCTGATTATCCATTATGGACTAAACTTCTGAAGCCTAGATGAGTATTTTTGAATGATTTTTTTCAAGCATAGAGATTAAAATCCACATGTGTTAGTGTAAACATTTTGTATATGAATCTGTTAACTGCAAATAAAGGACTTTTCAGTTTTTGCTTTATACCCATTAACTGTATGATTTTAGTAATTCTCTTAATTTCAAAAGAAACTGGTTTTTATTTTTCAGTGTTGAAAATGAGCCTGTGAGCACAAGTCAGAAAAAGGAAAATGTACTTTCATCAGAAGCTATAAAGGTACAGTTTTGAATTAATGTTACAACTTTATGTGGAAATCTAACCCCCTTATGTTGGACATTTGTGTCTCGGGGTGGGGAGGGGAGAAAGACTTCCAAGGAGAGGGATTTGGGAACATGGTGTTCCTAACCTAGCTTCCTAACCAACTATGGCATTTAATTTTTTTGTGCCTTAATATAAAATTTTTATTTATTGAGGCAAAGTGTTTTACACCATTCTATCTGCTTTGGGATTTATAGGTTTAAACCTCTATAGAATGTATGTTTTCACACCATGCCCACCACCAGCACCCCAATAATCCACCACCAAGATCCATTGGGCCACCTCCCTCCCATTCTGGTTGGCCCAGCTCTGCTGTCAGATGTCAAGAGTTTATTGTTGATTTGGTTTTGACTGAATCTTTATGTTTCTTATATTTCACATACAAATGAGGTCATCCTTTTGTGCCTTAATTTTATAATCTATTAACTGGATCACCTGACCTTCGTGGTCTCTTTTTTCCTAGGAAGTTCTTTGGTTGATGTCATGTTTCTCAAATGCTGCTGACCAGCAATAGCGCTTTGGGGAATAGAAGTTAATAACATGTTCTTACATGGCATTGCTCTGTGAAGGATACCTTTGTGGTCGGCTCACGTGAGAACTGGCTTTCTTTGCTGTATAGGGCAAGCATAGGAAGCATATAAATGGCAGACCTACTCACTTAGCTGTGTCATTAAAGATCTTTTAAAATCTAAAACTTGCAACATTTATTTTTACTCAAAAGTGATTTTTCTAGAAATTGGGTGTTGGTGTTGTTTGTGTGAGGCTGTGTATGTGATCAAATTTTGGTGACTGTTCACATTCAGAGTTTGGTCCCAGTCACTTTCTGTAACATGATTTTTGATAATCAAGGAGAAAGCTCCTGTGCTCCAGGGTAATACAGCTCAGTCAGTGGAGAACTTGAAAGTGATCTGAATTCTTTTGTAACTCAAAAGCATTAAGTTTGGTAAAGATAAACAATGTGTCAGCTATTTGGAGTAGACTTTATGCTTGCCGGGAAGTTTTTGGTTACTAATTCGATCTCCTTTCTGGTGACTGGTCAGTTCAGATCTTTTATTTCTCTTTCTTGGTGTGTCTAGCCAAAAGTTTGTCATTTTGCTTACCTTTTCAAAAACCAACTCTTGGTTGTGTTGACCTTTTCTTTTGTCTTTTTAATCTAATATTTCATTTATATCTACTCTGATCTTTGTTATTTCCTTGCTTCTACTAACTCTGGACTTCGCTTATTCTTGTTCTAGTTCCTTGAGGCATAAAGTCAGGTTGTTTGAAACTTCTCTTTTTTCAAACACAGGAACTGTTTGTTTACTTTGTCTGACGTGTACGCCGTACATTTATTACCAGCTACCCTCAACTCCAAAATCGGACACAGGAATGAGAAATAAAAATTCATTGCTCTTCTTAATAAATCATTATTAGTAACTTTCATTAAAAAATGTACAAACTTTGTTAAAAGTTTACCAAGGCTTTTAAATGATTTGGTTACAGATATTTATAATACTTATATTTAAAATTCTATGTTAACTGATAAAATGGAATATGATGTGAGGAAATGACTTGGCAAATGATTCCAAAAATCACCTGTAAACTTTCATAATCAGTAACAAACAGCAAAATGAGGTAGCCAAACTGTATTATTGGGGGAAAATAGCTTTCTAATGAAAGCCTAAAGATATTTGTGAAAAATATTCTCATGTGAGTTGGAAGATTTCATTCAAAATATTGTAAGAAGCCACAATTTAAGAATCATAGCAATCCACATTTCAGAGTATATAAAATCTAAATATCCTTTCACATTTTCCAGATTTTGCTCAAACAAAAAACCTCAGGCCAGGGTATCCTAATGAGATCTTCATACCATGAATTGGTATGAAGGCCATGAATTGTTTTTGTTTTTGTTTGGGAGGAAGAGATCCCCTGAAAAAAATTCAAAATTGATAATGCCCCAAACAATCCCTCCCCCCTCTTTTAAAGTTAAACTCTAATTGTGCTTGGAATCCCATATATAAACAGATTAAAAGCAAACCTTCACTGTTGATGGTGGGAATGAGTTGCCTTGAAGAATCTCACAGTTAGCCACTAGTCTCTGCCAACCATGACACCTCCTACAAATAGTTTTAAAATTACATGTGTGAAAAGGAAAGAACACAGCCTTTGGAATCAGATACATATGGGTTTAAGTCCCATGTGGTAGTTTGTAACCTTGAACAATTTGCTTAAAACTCTCTGAACTTTGGTTTGCTGGTCTGTGGTCTCCATGTTCAATCCTCATTTCAAAGAAGTATTTTAGATACCTTTGAAACATGTTCAGTAATGCATGATGCCTAACACAAAGTAGGCACTAGGGAAAACAGTTGCCTTCTTGCCATATAAAGTCTGATAAGAACTTAGAAATTACTCTTGCTTGAAAATACTGTTAATATTTTTCTAGATGAATAGTATAACTATCCGCTGTTAGAATCATTTCATTCACTATAACATTTGAAAAGCAATTATTCCATAAAGGGATACATATTGAATTCTGGCTAGAACTTACAATGTTCTCACCCCTTGATTGTTTAGATAAAGACTCAGTGCTATCTGGGTACCCAAAATAGAGATTGCACCTCTGCTGTATCGATGACCAAGAATCTATCAGTATTGCTGGTACCAGCCTAGGCCTTTGATAGATCTATATTCTTGGGTGTTGAATGTATATTGTAAGCTGTCTTATTTGATTTACAGCAGCTCCAACCTATCATACATAGATCTGAAATGGTCCATTTCTCCTTTGTGGTATGATAGAGCACTTTATCAAAATAGAAACTAAGTATGAAGGGTATTATACATAGTCTAGATTTTTATGAGTAAATTTATGTCCACAGGTTCCAAATATTGATCCAAAAATTTTAGAGGATCAAAAATTTTAGAGGACCAAAAAGCTCTCAGAGAATTAGTAACATTTATTACTCTAGCAGTTGTTTTCTTTGAAGAAGTCCTACGATATCAGTAAAAATGGCATTCCTCCCATGTTATGTCATCTTGTTCCTGTCTCTTCTCACATACACTTCTGCCCAGGTTGATTTGATTTCTGCCTACATCTCAATGTATAACAATGGTGACATCTATTTCTCCCGCCTGACTTGTCCTTGCTAATTATTTTAAGTCCTTTATCGTTAGATATGAGATTTGACATACTCAAAGTTAAATTTAATATATATATATGTATATATATATATATATTTTAAATTCCTGTCCAGCTGGAAGGTGCCACCAGTTACCCAGTCTTGACACCTGGGAGTGATTCTGCCTCTCCATTTTGTCTCCCTTTCCATATGCCAAGACCTGTCAACATCCCTTCCTCTTCACACCTATCAATACTGTATAGCACAGACTTTTCTTTTTTAGACTCAATTTTTACCCACATCTTTTTTTTTCTCTGATACATATAGTAGATGACTGTCTTGAGTTATGTATGGTTAAGGGCACTAATTTGATACAGTGCATGTAACCATATTCCTTTATCAGAAATTACATGGTTATTGGGCCTCCCCAGTGGCGCAGCAGTTGAGCACTGGGTTGTGAAGCTGCCCGCAGCCTCTGCAGCGCCAGTTCGATCCCTGGCAGCTCCCAGGCCACAGGAGGAGGGTCCCACATGGTGCGCAGACCTCTCCTGCCGCCCGCTGCTCCCCTCAGCAGTGTACTTCGGTGCTTCTGCCTGCTCTGCTCCCTGCTCTGGCTCTGGTGAATTCTCTCACCCTTCCGTGCTTCCAACTGTACCCAGTGCTTATATAAATAAATAAATAAATCTTAAAAAAAAAAGAAATTACATGGTTATTAAAACCTGCTATTCTATAGCATTTTTTAATTCAGCTTTTATCAACAATTTTTATTTTTATTTTATATATTTTTACATCCTTTTTCATTTTTGCATAATGTATGCATTTTCATCTTGGTTATATTCCCCATACAATTCCCACCCCCATGTATTTTGACCTGAATCTCTCCTCACCCCCCCCCCGTAGTGTGTCTCTGGTTTATAGTTGCTTGTTGATTTTGATTTTTACTTTATTATAATTAGTGTTTTCCTGGTTCCTTATTTAGGTTTTCTAAATTCCTGCTATGAGTGAGACCATCCAGTATTTTTCTTTTTATTTCTGGCTTATTTTGCTGAGCATGATCCCTTCCAGCTCCATCCATGTTGCTGCAAATTGCATGAGTTTATCTTTTTTGATTGCTGAGTAATATTCCATTGTGTCTATGTACCACATCTTCTTGAGTCCAGTCATCTATTTTTGGGCATTTGGGTTGTTTCCATAGCTTAGCTATTGTAAATAGTGCTGCTATAAACATAGGGGTGCAGGTGCCCTTTTGAATTAAAGATTCTGTGTCCTTTGGGTAAATACCTAGGAGTGGTTTTGCTGGATCATATGGAAGATCCATCTTTCTGCAGGTCATCCATGCTGTGCACAACATACTCAGAGCCTGAGGCTAGACAGGATGGCCAATCCACATGATTAAGACAGTAGAAGACAACTCACCTGACCTTCCCTGTGCCAGTCACCATGTTGTGACAGCACCTGCTAGAGGCTGCTCCAGGAGGTGACAAACTAGCGCTGGTTCGACTTGCAAGTAAGGTCTTATATATCAATAAGTAGGCGCCATAGACAGGGCTTTTGGTGTATCTTGTCATAGTCATGACAGATAGGTGTCTTAAGCATCTAGAATAGTATCTGGCGCATGATTATTTGTTGAATGAATACTTTAAAGTTTTCATTGACCTAATTGCTACTTGGTACATCTAATTTCAGCTTATTGTGGCATCCCTCAGGCACTCTCCTCCAAGTCTTGTCTATTTTGGGATCCCAAATTCCAGAGCCATTTGTCAGACCTTGTTCATTGTCTTCTCCACTTAAAGAATTGCACAAACTTTCGCCACTTCCTTACCACTTTACTTTGGAGGAAATGTCCATACTCCTCTCTAA